GCTGTCGAGCCTCAAAATAGCATATGAGGAAAATAAAACAGACCGTTTTCCTACGGCTTTATCCACCAGTGTTTATGTGTTATCACTGTAACACCTGTTCTATCTGTCTTTCATAGTGGCCTTTTTCTGATCGGCTGTAAGCTAGCAGCATAACTTTTCGTGCTACTTCCTTTCACAACAAACTTGCAGCCCATGACACATTTCTTGGTCAAAAGGAAAGTCTCTCTCTCTCTAGTGGCGTGGAGTGGAAGTTCAGTATGGCAACTATTTCAAGAAATAATCAAATCGCGTTCAGACCTACATTTTTTTCTTAATATACGTATAAAGGTTGCAGTATGAAGCTAAACGTCGAAAATTTTCAAGCTGTAAGCTTCTGTTTTGAATTTTTTGGGGCTGCATATTAGATCTATTTAGACTGAAATGATCAAGATTATTTCTTCCTAAAATAAAATAGAAACTAGGAAGAAAAAAAAGATTATTCAGAAAGGAATGAAGAGATTTTTTCCCCCTCAAAAATCTGAGATTAAATTTGGAATGAGATCATTTCAAAATGTTTCCAAATTTTCACTCATATAACATTGATGCTCTGAATTCTACTAAGACTTATTGTTTGACAAGTTGGCTTGCCATACTCCGACCTACAGAAGCTTTTATCCAGGAAAAAAAGATACAATACAATTGTATTTTCTTTTTCAGGTGTACATCTTAAAAGAACAAAGAAGAACATAGGCCGAAGAGGGTTGTAAAAGATAAGCATCTTAACTATTTTAACTTCACAAGAATTGAATATTGTTTTTTTTGTTCCACTTTAAATAAGTTTCTTTTTTTTATCTATAGCTCCAGCTGGTGATTTTTAAAAAAAACTAATACCAATTAGATTTAACAACAAATAAATATAAGAAAAATGTGATGCATTAGACAACTTGTGTTTTTCATCAATGCAAAAAAAAGGGGATTCATTTGAAAATGTAATTTATATGTGTTTTCTTTATTTACAGAAAACACATATCCCATTTTAAAATGTTCATGCACAGTTTTTTGAAAGAAAGCAAAAACAAAAATAAAACAAAACAAACAAACAAAAATTCCCTGAATAAATATCAAGGACATGACCAATCTGTCCATATTTTCTGTGGAGTTAGTTGTTGTTGGCTTATAACTTCGGCAGTTTCCAAAATAGACTTTCAATAATAACTTTTTATAATAAAACTCATCTCAGCTTTTTAAACTGCCAAAAGTTTGAGATCAGTAACACATTTTTTCCATCACAGAACAAGTAGATTATGGAATTAAGCACTTATAATCAGAGCTCTCTCAGTAGCAGCCTTCTCCAAACATGTGTTGCACCAGACATCCCAACGTAAGCATTCATTAGTTGTTTTTGGCCTCCAGGCATTTTCCACTTGTTTCCCAAAGCTGGATCGCATTATGCCACAGAGAATTCCTGAGCCACAAATTCAGAGACCCACTCTGATAAAAGATTATTCCAGTACTGTTGCTGTTTTCTCCCCATGCCAGATTCTTGGAGAGAGTTCAAACATTCACAGGTCTTGAGAATGCGAAGATGACGAATGACTGGGATTTGTGTGTGAGCATCTGTGTGGATGAGGTTCTCCCTGGCTGGTTACTCACTTCATCATTAACTGCTTTTATTGTATTGGTTCCCCAGCAACATGAAGCTGCATAAAATTTTATGAAAAGCATAAAACAGGAATATGAAGGTCGTGAAACAATAAATGTACAATCTGAACAGATTAGATGTGGCTCTGGAAAAAATTATGAATTTAATATTGCATGATATAATCACATGTTTTAAACCTTTCAATAAAATTCTGATTTGGAAATAAACAAAGAGCAGCTGCTGAATAAAATATTTTGTCTGTGTTGTTGTGAAATAGTATTTGTCCCCATACAGGTTTCTTCTATTTTGGGACGTTATGCAGACCGAATTTGCCCAATGTGAAAAGAAAACAACTGTGATTCTTGTCAAATCATGAGAAAATGAACCTCATTGCTCAAGTCGTACTAGCCGCACCCAGGTCTGATTGTAGTCAGACTGGTAGAAACAATAAATTACCTAAACACAACTGCTCTGGCAACTTGAAGTAAGCTAAGAAAACTAAAAAGGCACCACGCTATCTGCAAATAGAGAAATGATTAAAAGGAGGTCAAAGTCCCAAAATTAATCCAGTAGAAAACTGCTGACTCACCTAAAGGTCAGAAAAAAAATGAGAACATCATCTTTGTTTCTGCAGGCTTCACTTGCCTGAGCTGTGGTCAATGTACATAATTCAATATTGAAAAAAAAAAATAAAATAAAAAATAGCAGAAATAGCATCGGTTGCAGATTTCTCAGGTAAAATCAAATTCTGAAAAAAAAAAAAAACTGGTCATTGTCATTTTCAGAATTTTTTTTTTGACGATCTAAGAGACTTTTGAGAGAATACATAGAATGTGAAAGGTATTTCGCCCAGTGTATGTTTAGTCTGGTGTGTGTCATGTTACATTTGATATGAAACTTACAAAAAGAACATCATGCACCATAATGACTCATAACTGGCAGACCCCTGGATTCTGCCCTTCTCCAGAAAATCCCAGCGGAGATCGTTTGGCTATCATTTTATGATGTTAAGCTCAAGAACAGTTGGGTTCTGCATCAGGGCAATAATCCAAAAATCACAGACAAATCCTCCTCTCAACAGGAACTTGCACATATATCAGGAACTGATACCTGCACCGTTTGTCATGCACCGTAATCAGTGCATGACAATCACATGACTATTCATCACCCATAGTTTCATTTCATATACAACTCCAGCTGGCTGCATAGTTGGACGAGTGCCATGATGTAGTTATATTAAATATTTAGTTAGTGTAACCATATTCATGCACAAAGGCTCCCGAAATATGCTGAGAACAAACTTTGTCTTCTCTTCAAGGGATGAAATGTCATCCATAATTTAAACAAAAAGCATATTTCTGTTTGTACAATGACCAACTATTCATCACCCGTTTTGTTTTAAAATTAGACACAGAGAATGCACCATTGTGATTTTTTCTTTTCATGACAGACCTGCAATTCTTTGCTTTCAATGCACAGACAAAATTAATTACTTGACAAAGTAAATTTCACATTTTTCCAAAGACACACAGACTTTTCCACCCCACAAAACTAGTCTGCAAATTAAAAAAAAAGAAAAAAATAGTTTCCATGGCAGTACCTTTTACTGATGCACCTCAGACCGGTATTACAGCTGCAAGTCTTTCAGGGTGAACCAGCCAGCTTTGTACATCAGCAGACTGGAACATCAGTTCATTTTTCAGCAAAACATACATTTTCAAGTCTTCCTTCAGAATCCAATTTTACTTTACATCCTGACTTTGATTGAACCACAGAAACACCTGAATTGTGCTTTGATCTATTCATCTGACTGTGTTTAGGACTGGAGTCCTGCTAGAAGGTGAACCTCCACTCCAGGCTCTCGTCTGCAGACTTTAGCAGGTTTTCTTCCAGGATTGTTCTGTCTTCCATTAACAGTTTTGTTGTATTTTCTGAAACAGACAAACAAACAAAACCTTCTTCATAGCATTAATCGCCTTTACCATGTTTTAGAAAAGAGACTGTGTGTTAAGGGTGATGTACAGTTCCTATTTTTCTGTCACATTGTCCTTTAGGCCAAAAGATTGGTCTCATCTGTCCAGAGCTTCTTCTGCAGGCTTACTGTGAATTATGTTAAACTACAAATTGGATCTCTATGAATTTTTTCTTTACATCTTTCTTTGCCACTATTCCATATTGACCATATGTGTTAAATACTTTAATTATTATTGTTTAGTCATCAGATTTTCATCACTGAGCTGTGTCTGTCTGGAGAAATTTATTCAGTCTCGGCTGCTTTTACGATTAATGGTCTCTTTTTTGGATCTTTCAATTTATTTAGCTTGACCTCTCTTGATTTAGCTGACCTGTCTTGGTGTCTCGATCTTAGCATTTCTTGATTTCAGACAAACTTTAAACATTTACATGACTTCATTCCTACTGCTTGGTGTCCTTGGTGTTGGTTTTCCTCAAAGAAACCAGAAACAAAGGCGGTTTTAATTTAAGGATATCAAAAATGAAGTGAGGTGAATACAATTGCACATCACATGTTTAAGATTTTATTTAATTTAAAAACTTTCTATCTTTATTGTTTCAGAAAGAAGATGTTGCGTCTGTCTGTCCTTCTTCCATGTCTCTGTCTTCCTCTTCCACTCCTCCTCTGTTTTTTTTAACTGTTTGTTCAGAGATAGATGCTCTAAAAGGCAGGATAAGAGAACATGAGGCCCGGAAGCCTGTGGTGTTAATGTTCCCCGCACAGTCTTTTCATCTGCCATTAAGACAGCTGTCATTGATTAGTGTGTTTGTAAATGATTGCTGAGGGAAGTGGGCGGTCAGACGCAGGTCATATCTCTTTTTTCTCCCCTCTCACACACACTCAGATCCTCCTCCTTAAGCCTCCTTTGCATAGAGGAGCTGGATAAGCGTGACAAAGCTGATTTTATTTTTTATTTTATTATTATGAAATGTCTAGTTGATTTCTATCTGTTCCACAATCAGTAATCCTAATGTCATCCCATTGGGATGACATTAGGAAATGATGTTAATATCTACAGGTCACACCAGGGAAGTTTCCTCCCCGCAATTTTGTTGTGGTTTGTTTCCCTGTTTGTTTGGGGACTAATCATCAGCAGAATGGTTTCCACATGGAGGATCTGGTCGAGCATTAATGACTGCTATTTGTCCCTCCCTACCTCAGAGTAAGCCAGATAAGAGTGAAACCTACCCTGACCTGAATGCTTGCCAGTGTTTCTCAGGACATGTGCTGATACTTTGCTTTTTTTCTTTCTGCAGCTTTCTGTGCCCTTTGTGTGAGAAGGAACAAACATCCACACTGCTGCAGAGAAGAATCATAGTTTTATTTTCACATGATAGAGAGATCCTATAAAAAGTAGAACGCAGAGGATTGCTGGTGTTCCTTCCAGTTAAATATCTCACAAAAATAAATAAATCAATAAAATTCAGCCAAAAACTCAGTGGTTAAATATCAAACAGTTATTTTAAATGTGCTTTGATTCTTAATATTTAATGTTGTCATGATAATCAGATTTTTACCTTTGCCATTTTCTGCCAGACCTTTTTCCCTGCCTCTCTGGAGAAGTTGGATTATATATACCATATTTCGATACATCTAGCTTGGATAGTATCTTCTCTGTTGTCCACAGACTTCAGCTTCAAACTGTTTGGCACAGTAAAAAAAATAAAGATGACCCCTGCTTTTGGTGCCACTCAAAACTCAGATTAACATCTCTCACCTAAAGGAAATAAGCAATCTCAACCTAGTCAGAGTTCACTTCGTTTAACAGTGTTAGTGCCTTTTTCTTTTCCCAAATGAGAGATTTTTCAACACATGTCTTTAATTCATGGCTGTCTGGTATTTAAAACCTCTCATGTCCAGTGCTCTGTGTATCTGTTTCCACTCCAGGTGGGCTCCTTGGTTCACACCATTATTGGAAGGAAGTGGGTTGCTGTTTTCTTCCTCCGGGTTTTCATTCCCCTCAACGGCTTCCCATGGACGTTCAGCCCCACGAACATCTGCCGCTTCTTGTTCTTCCACTCAGCCGATGCGTAGGTGTTGTAGCCGTTCTCCTCGATGCGCTCCTTCAGCTTGCAGTCGACACCAAACTCTCTCTGAAAAATCAGACGCATGTTTGTGTCAGACGAGGTGAGAAAAAGGTAATTTTCCAGCACAGATCAATTTTTGCTCTAAAACACTCCTCCTTAAGCTCTAAAGTGCATTCCTATGAGATTATTGTGAGTGTGTAGAAAAGTAGAACTTCTTAAGTAGGAAACAACACATTTGAACTTATATTTATAATTTAGAGCAATTCAAGCAGAAAATGCACTTAATCATGATGCATGGTACAAACAATGGACATTAACCATCTGCATTTTCACAAACACTATTGAGTTTGTTATTATGTTGGCCAAACACGTAAATAACGTAAATCTACATTGTCAACTCCTCAGTAAAGTAAGTTGTCCTCAAATAACTAAATTATGACATCACCAAATTTGTATCCAGCTAAGAAAAATTTAGGTTTAAAGGAATATTTTATTTTCACCAGCATGCAATTTCAGTTGTTTCTGAGTGACACTTTAATTATCTACAAAATCTCCCATTGTAAAATGGACATTGATCATCTACGAAACCAGGAGCAAACTCAAGTTTCTTGTATGCTAAGATTTTTAAAATTCAGTAATTTTTTTATATTTGTTTGAATTGTTTTAAATGGCTAAAAGCAGCTGAGATAAAGAGTCAGTATGACAGACAACATCATGCTGTGAATCATTTAATTTTCTACAAGCTTACAGCAATCTGCCAATTTTCTACTAGACGTAAGATAACTATTATTGACAATACCTTCACAGAATCTCACTTCAAAATATCCAAACCACTCCTTTAATGGATTCTGCATGCTTTGCCCTATTCTGCATTTTGTTTTTGGACAAGCTCTGTGATTGCATAGCTCTCCTGCAGGTGTGCATGTGTCCACAGGCCTGACTGTGGATTTGATCCAACTGGCATGGAGGTAAAGATCAGGTTGCCTGTGATAAAAACCGCACAATCTAACACTATCTGTCTCTGTGGAGCATTCAGATTGACCTCTGACTTGGATACTAACCGCTCCATACAGCTCTCCTTTCCTGCTGATGGCCAGATAGTGGTTGCTGTTCAGCCCTTTAATGGCCACCACTCCCACTTCCACTGATGTGATTTCCAAAATACCTAAGAAATACAAAAAAAGGTTACATCATTATTCGTGATTATCAAAATAAACAAACAATCCCCTTGCATGCACCATGACTTCATAAAGAATCTCTGGATTGCTGGAACATTTACAAGATGACATCAAATTCAGATCTGCATATCCCATATATTTATATATATATATATTTTTTACACACTTCTTTAGTGCGTGCGAAAAAAAAATACAGAGAAGTCCATTGTAAGTAGTCTCAAGCATTTGAATGACTCGAATGTGATGTGAGGTTTTGCAGCAACCAGATCATCTTTAAAAAAATTTCAAGCTTCATAATTTGTACTCTGGGACTTTAACACAATTGGTTTTCAGATTTTACTGACAAACAACCATAAAATAATCAAATATGTGGGGAAATAAATGTGTAGAATTTTTGCCAATAAGACAAATGTGTTTAAAAATGAAAACAATTGTATTTTATACATTATATATAAATTAATTTTGATTTTTTTTGTCTCCATCCCAACCCAAAACTGACAGATTATTTTTATTTTATTTTTAATTTTTTCATTTAATTGTGTAACCTTTGGATATCTATAAACTGCACAATGAGAATGAATTTCATGAATTGCAACAATGTTTTTTGTGACCCTCATGTTAGTCACTTCAGAGACCTCTCATTATTTCTTTAAATGGATAGATAAAATAAAATCATGACATAAAGTTATATATTTTCCATAAACTGCGTTAGAGTAAAATTATGTTTAGACTGTGACAGCTGTAAGAAGATTGTGCAGATAAGATTATTTTGTTTTCTGCTTGTGTCCAGTGTACCATTATTTCAAGAAGTTTTAATTAGTTATGAAAAAAAAGAAACATTATAAAATAATAAAAAGAAAACTGGCACATTTTCTATTTGAAAAGTGGGGAGCAGATTTAAAAATCTGCTTACTGTTGAAAAACATAATTTCAGAAACAAGAGCGCTTTAGATTTATATTCTGCAAAACAATTCAATCTTGGCAGCACCCTGTTGTCCTCTGGGCCAGAGCAGCACCTTACACCTGGGGTTGATTCTGACTCATCTTTTATGCTGCCTGTGTTTATCCACTCTACAGCGCTATTAATTTATTCATATCTTTTCTGTAAATAAGCGCTATTAAGATGTTGGAGTACCGCCTCGGGCAGCCCAAATACCAGCAGATTTACTTGTTTGAGAGCCCTGGATCTGAATGACTAGCAACCTTCAAAGTGCAGTACATTTACATGTGGGAATATGTGGGAGTTCTTTTTAAGGTTACAATTATTCCTGAGCACATTTATCATTTTGGTGATATTATAAAGTTAGTTTACAGCCTACACCTGCGTAACAGATTCCAGCTGCACAGGTCATTTTGTTGGAAAATTAATAGGTGGATTCCACAGAGAATCTCTGGCTGTTTATGCTCTGTTTGGTATTTAGGCTACACAAATAATTTGGGTTTCTCATAGGCTGGCAGAGGGGTTAATTTATACCTGGGGTAACAAGCGTGTGTTTTTCCTGCAGACAGCCACGATTATTTGTGTGGTCTCAGTATCAGAGGTCAGAGAGATATAACTTCCTAATGTGTCCTCTGACCACAGAGCCCACTTGTCTCGTGTTTTGCTGTTGGTGTGTGTTTGTGAGAGAGTCCTGCTGGTTCCCATGACATGTTTGATTTCTTGCCGCCCTCCCTGACTTCCTTTCCACACTTCCTGTGAGCTGTCGTTATTTTATCTCGATAAGCATCCATGTGTAGGCACACACAGACACACACACACACGCACACAGACGGAGACCGGCGTGGGGGCGTGAACTCCGGAGAGTCAATGACATCCTTTGATCAGATCTGCAGTCCAGTCTGTGTCTGATGACTGTTTGTGTGGCGCTCTAGTCCACTGTCGCTCCCACTCTCCTCTGCCTGAGGTCTCCAGCCGTGTACATGAGTGGACAGTGGAGAGTCCAGGTGTGCCACCACCCCCTCCAAAAGAACAAATACACCTCTTAAATATACAGCAACTTCCCTCCTTGTCCGTGATGTCTTGGCTGTATCAGTTTCTAGTTCAAACGGTGGCACCTCAGGGCTGTGAGGTCTGAAGCCGCAAGGCGGTAGTGGGGACTGTGACACAACGGCCATTGAAGATCTGAGTGGAGCTGGTTTTCTGTAAGGGATCGGATGTCAGGTATGGAGTGAGGATGTAAGACAATCTATGGCAGTCTCTGGCTGCCCTGTAAACATGGGAGGGATGAAAGAAAGGAGAACAGAGGAGGACAGAGGAGCCATGACAGTGAGACTGGGGGTGGAGTGAGGATTAGAAAGGCTGTAATGATCACTGATCAAAGTCAGCCACCGGAGGCAGGGGCGAGACAGGTTGTATATACACATGTGCACGCGTGCTAATGTGCACATATGCATGCATGGACACACACACACTCAACATACGCACACAAAAGTAAATGTAACAGGTGAATGTGCTTTTCTACAAATGTTGGAGGAAAATAACCAATAACTACATTTTTAAGAGGCAACCTCAAAGGAAATTTTTATATTGTGGCTTTTGTTTTCCCTTTGAATATTATATGCATTTCCTGTTTGGAATTACAGCACCTAATTACATGCTGGTTGTGAAACAGATTAAGCCAGAAGGAACTGAAGGTGGGCTTTTTTTCCACAGTGGTATGCCAAAAACTAAATTGTTGCACTTAGCAGCTTGTAGCATTTTGTTGTTTTGTTTTTTTTTTACCCAAAGGTTGCTTTCACACTGTTTCTTATCTTGCCAAGTATGTAAAATTCAACTTTAAGGTGGAAAATGTACAGTTTGTAATTGTGTCAGAAAAAACAAACAAAAAGAAAACTAGGTTGCCATGATACATGATACATGATACATGATACAAGTGTCTAATCTAACCAGTTATATATATATATATATATATATATATAATATATATATATATATATATATATATATAGATATATAGATATATAGATATATAGATATATAGATATATAGATATCTATCTATCTATCTATCTATCTATCTATCTATCTATCTATCTATCTATCTATCTATCTATCTATCTATCTATCTAGCTATATATATAGATATATATCTATCTATCTATCTATCTATCTATCTATCTATCTATCTATATCTATCTATCTATCTATCTATCTATCTATCTATCTATCTATCTATCTATCTATCTATCTATCTATCTATCTATCTATCTATCTATCTATCTATCTATCTATCTATCTATCTATCTATATATCTATATATATATATATATATTTTTTTTTTTTTTTTTTCACTTTTCAAAGCAAATTCATCAGGACAGATTAATGTGCCATGTAGAACGTTTGCATTGCACAAAATGATTTTAGGTGAACAGAAAATGTCCTGTACTTGCACTTTGCTTTATTCAGCCCAGATGATTCCAAAGTGCTATACACTACATTCATTCACATGTATGATAACTACAAAGTTGTTACACTGTAGCCAAACAGTGGGGCAGTCTGACAGAAGCGAGACTGTGATGCAGTTGAGACACTGGGCCCTCTGACCACCACCAGCAGGCAGAGCAGTGAAATAGCTTGACCAAGGACACAATGACTAAGTCAGGTGAAGCTGGGCTACAAACCAGCAACTCACCAATTACAGGATGAACTCCTATTCCTGTTGCCCTGTCACCCCCAGATATCATTCTTTTGTTATGGTATCACTTTTGTGAATTTTGAGAGAGCATTTGTGTAAATTTTCTAGCAGTGGTGCACATGAAAGGTAGTTATAGTATATCTAATGTGTAATACTCATACCACAATTTTTTCCAGGTTTTACATGCTCTTGAGCATCTATATTTATTCTACTGTTAAAGAAATGTGGGACATCTTTGAGTCATACAGGAGAAAACAACCCTTCCTGCATCACAGTATATTATATGGAAAATATTAAAAGATACTAACATTGATCACTTGTTTCTTTTCAAGTGATCTTTTGCTTCTTTATCTTAAACATGAAAATAAATTCAAAATTGTATTTTTTTTGCTCATCTGAATTTGACCACAAAGTAGAAAAATCTTCCATTTCAGCAACTATTTTTTTGCCGACCTGTTTCTGATGAGAAAATCCATTTAACAAAACCTGTGCAGACCGAGCAATCAGCTTAATTCTGGCCACACTTGAGACCCCATGTGAAAAGTTTTCTGTCTTTTTTCAGACACCCAGAAGACCACTGTCGTTATTTGCTTTGATGAAAAAGATCAATGTGCATTCAGCACATTTAACTGGAAAATGACATACACTCTCAGACACTCTTCATGAGCTATGTCGCAAAGTGCGCTGAACACATGGCCTTCATCCCATGCATACACTAACACTCTTTCTTGACAGGCTCCCCCTCTCACACCATCAAAGATCATGAGCTAAACTGTTTCACCACCAGGCGTTAGACTGGGTCTTATTTGGCAATCTTTCACTCATCACTTAAACTTACTAGTTGCCTATAAATATAAAAGAAGTCAGCTGTGAATCATAGATATTTTAATTGCACACTCAGACCATGGAGATAGCTACTTAGCTGACTTCAGAACTTTCTCTCCCTCCCATTCTGACTGCCTCTGTAACCTCTGCACAGGCCCCTGGCGGGCTGGAAAGCCATGTGGGACAGTTTTACACTGGCATCCCCATAAATCTGTGGGAGGCTGGATACTGGCTCTGTAACACAGAGAGAGCCGGGTCTCTGCAGAGTCAACTGCAACACTTGAAACCAAATATCTTCACATCCAATGCACCATTTAAAATAGACCAAATAAACCAAATGTATCATTTTGTAAGCAGAATAGGAAGGAAAATCCTGCTTGTCACTTCAAGAGACCATGAGGGGTCCTCTACAAAAGATGTCATTTCTGGGATCATGCCTAGCCCTAGGGGCCAGAAAAAGAAGACTGAAGCTGCTGTTGAGTAGTATTCTTTACCATGTGAACCTGATAGTTCACATGGTAAATAATCCACACACAGTGTCCCTAGACCCCCTTAGGACAGAGCTTGTTCATGGCACCACCATTGATACTGAAGATGCACACCTTTGATGTGCCTACAATGACGTTCAGTCAGCTTATTCATGAACTTGTACCTCTAGAGGATCTCCCTTTCACCTCCCACCCTGGTGTTCATCACTGCAAAGACTAAATGACTTTTCAAGAAAAAAAAAAAAGAAAGAAAAGGAAACACACTGATTCAGTAAAAATAAAGACAAAGGAGCAAATTACCCTCCAAACAAACACAAGGTAAATTTGCACAAAAAAAAAAAAACTGTGTCAGGCTTCCTTGCACCACTCAAGCTTTACGACTTAAAAGAATCTGCTAACAAAGGTAGCAGTAAAGGCATCACTTCAATAAAGTTTCTTCTGTCATGACCTTGTCCAAACAAACATCTGCCCTGACATTCTGCTTCCCCCATGCTATTTCCCTTTAGTCACTTTGATTGAATGTGTGGTCAGGCTCCTCCAAGAGGAGAAATAAAGCTTCTTATATACACTGACTGTGCGACTGGAAGGCTGGGAAAATGAAGAACACGTCTGAACCTGTGCATGTGTCATGTAAAGTTTTTTGCAGATGACAAGCTGTTGAATCCACACTTATTAAAACAACATTTAATTATTGCTGAGTTACATTTGAATGTAAAATAATTAGCATGTTTTCTAATTCAAAACTGCAATTTCTATTCTATCCATCACTGGTCTTTAGGATTCAGAGTTTGATTTAGCATTTTGTACAAATATTTAGGGGTCTGAATAGATAACTATTTTAAGCTTCATTTTGAAAATTTGACAGGAAAGTAAAGTTCTATGAAAGCCAAATTTTAGTTTCTGTTGAGGCTAAGAAAGCCAATTCAGCGAGCCATCAAGTCCTGTCTTTCAAACATTTATGCTTTTTATGATGCATTTTAATGGCTTTAATGATAATATGTATTGGGATCAGGAGTGTTAAATTCACAGAGTTCCACGTTTATCAGGACAGGGCTGATTATTTTTGTTCCAATGTCATGAATTACCATATTTTTTCCAGTGTTCAAGATCAAATGGCCATCTCGAAATGAAATGTCAGTGAGCTATAAGTAAATAGATAAATATTACCTGAATTATTCTGAATATGTCATTGTATCAGTTTCACTTTCAGTTTCAAACATTTGGCATCCCAAGATGAGGGAATCTCCAATCCCACCCACAGAGCACTTGCATAGTGTAACAAGAGCAGCTATATTTTAGAAATATTTGAGTCACAATTGTGTAAATACTGTCAAAGTGGTGCCTATGTGTGATAAACAGCTGCCCTAAACATTATGTCTCAAAAAATCCAAGCCAGCCTAATAATTTACTACTGAGTTGCAAAGAAGATAACAATAGTGCAAAAGAGGGAGAGAAATATCTGTGACAATTTGTGTATGTAAGTTTCTCTGCCAATGTACTTTACATGATTCCTTGCATGACTCTCGTCATAGTTCTGTCATGCATCATCAATATGTCAGATTCAAAAAATTTTGGTCTTCACTGTAATTTCTGCCACAGCTGGTTTATCACACCATTGGCATATTCTAATTTTCAAAGGCACTCTTGACATCTTATCTACCAAAAGAATCACCAGATTTGTTCAGCTAACCAGTTTAAAACACTGCATGTTTTTTGAACTGGTTTTGCACATTTTCTTTGCCCATTTTCTTACTTTTCTATCCATTGATCGACATTTCATCGATTCCTTCCATACTTCCATAGACATACATGAAAAATTGAGAGCATGCATTAATATCTTCTACGTTATGATCACACACCCATGGAGAACATGCGGGTGCCTGATAGGCGCACACACACGAAGCTTGATGGGAATGCTGGGTTACAAATGAGAATGCTGCCTTACTGACAGATCCAGTGAAACAAACAACGTGTAATTACTTCTAAAGACACGTTTCTTAGAGGAGAAAAAGTCAAACAATTGTCCCAAATTTGACTGAGAATGTGTAATTTACTCCAACCTGTGCTTGCAGAACAGCAATGTGAGTGAGAGACAACAGAAAGAGGAAAAGAAAAGGAGCCTAAAATATCAATGAGCCTGACATTCATGTGCCCCCCCGCACCCCTTGCACCAGCCCTTTTCCTCTGTGGTTCTTATCAATGCTGTTTACCCTGGGTTATGAAGACTGCTTGATAATGGCCCAGTTATCTGCTCCTGTTCCTTTTTAAGCCAACTGAGAGCTACCATCATTGTGCTGAGTGTTTGGACAGAAGAGATATCAGTGAGATGTCTGGTTTAAAACAAAAGGACAACTCAAATTGAAAATTCTTCTGTCAAACCAGCAGCCTGGGATAATATGTTTTATTTATCATAGCCAGGTAGTTTCATATTCTTTAAAACTTAGTGCTGAATTAATAGTTTATACATGATGAGGTCCCCATCTTCAGAATTGGCTCCCCTCCTCTGATTTTATCTTTACATATTAAGAGGTTTTACTTACTGAGTGGGTCATCCTTGCTCTTGGTTCCATTGACTTGTCCATTCCTATCGATCCTCAGGAAAAATTTCTGGAAAGAGAACAACTTTCTTCTACGTATGTCTCCTTGAAGGTGATTGTAGCTGCGCACATGCCTCCCCTGCGGTCCTCCAGCCTGACCAGGCGGGCCCCTGGTGGCTCTAGGTCTAGAGATTAATTTGCTCTCTGAAATGTTCAGTGGAGCCCCAGATGTTTCCAAGTCGGGGGACCTCAGTCTGTCTCTGCCGTTCTGACGACACGCAACTTCAGGAAAGCACAGGGAGAAAGCCAGGAGAGCAACCAACACAGAGAAAGTCAGGGAAGAAAGCAGTCCTGATGACCTTGATCGGTAGCTGGTCCCGGAGCCAGAGTAAGCCCCCAAGCCAGCCCAGGAGCAGAACGAGGCAAATGCAGCCTTACTCCCTCCAGCAGCCCATCTGATCATGGTAGTGTGCAGTGAGGAGGACTAGAGGCAGCCTTAGAGCCTGGGACATGCTGCTGGGGGTGAGGAGAAACTACGAGGGCAGGGAGGGGAGCCCTCCACACTCCAGACTGGCTGAGGTGATCGCACTGCAGTGTCCAAACTTTTCACCACCTGCATAAAGTTTTAGGATATCCAGCTGAATAAAATTTGAATGTTAAAAACCTGAGAAATACACCCAAATCTGTGTGTTAAAAGTGGATATTTCCAAACTGAAAATGAAAGACTGATTATTGCAAAAAAAAAAAAAAAAATCTGTCATAGATTTCAGAAACAAACCAGGGTTATCCTTATGATCAGCAGTTCTTTCGTTGTTGCCCGTGATGCTTAAATTGATATCCTGAGTTGTTCCTAAGAGATCATTGAATTTCCAGGCAGTTCATAGTTGGAGAGAAAAACCTTAATATCCTAGTAAAATGCATACCAAACCTTACAACAATGTCCACCCAAAAATAAAAATGGGTTGTCTCACATCAACCTGTTTGAAGTAGATAAATCTTGATTTGTCCTCAGGAGTTTTGTTCAGCAAACATTGTACTCAGAACCTAAACATCCAGCTGCATGTCAGACAATCCATCTGTTCTCTTCGGTTGTCCTGCTCCTTTTGTTTTTTTCCTCTCATCCCACTTCCTCTCCTCTTCCCAATGACTCCACCTTCATGCAAAAAATGTCTGGGGAGGTCCTGGGGTTGAGCCCAGTTGTTCTTGCCCTTTCCTTGATTTGACAAATTCATTACCGGCAGAGTGACACCAAAATAAATAATAGTGTGTTCTGTGAAGGTTACTCACTCCAAAATTGAGTAAATTCAACTTCCCTCTAACATATGGGAGCAAGCACTGCTCTGTGTGTGTGTGTTTGTATGTGGGAATCCCTTCCAAACAAAGTAACATATGAGAGTAGGTGAGAGGTGATGACAGGGTTTATCTTTGTTGATGGTGCTGGGCAGGAAGAAGCAGCATGATGGTAACGGTTCTGTTCCTTCAAATGTTGATTGTGATGATGATTGCTTTATTGGTTAATGTGATTAGTGCTTTAAACTGTGTGTTAGAGCAAAAAATGCCCACTTGGCCATATTTATCTCTCTGCATGTAATGTTGAAGCCTAGATCCTGCTGCATTGCAGCCCTGAAATAAGTAAAGTATTTTTGTCTTCAAAATATTCTGACTCTTCTTTTCAGTATCAAAATAGATAGTTAAGAACTTTCATTTCTTTTTACCTAATTGAGTACAATGAACTCCCTATCATATTTAAGGAATCGGTTTGAGATTATTTGAGCTTTATACTACAGGACCTAGACATCGGCAAGAAGTCATGTGGTCATGAAGCAATGGACATGGTCAGTAGCAATAGTTTGGCCAGTTGAGGTCCAAAGGGTCTCCAAGAATGCATGCTATAGTGTGACATTGCACCACCAGCAGAGGTGAATACCAGTTTGAACAGGTCCACTTTTTGCGGGTTTTTGAAACTTGAGTGAAATCAAATCTAATCAGACAAGTAAACATGTTTGGAATCTGTAACAATCTAATTTGTTGAGGTTGTGGAAATTGTAGCCTCAGTTTCCTGTTCTTAACTGACAGGAATGGCACCCCGGGTGGTCCTCTGCTCCTCTAGCCCATCTGCCTCATCGTTCAAGGTTTTGTGAGTTCAAAAATGTTATAACAAGTGACTATCTGAACTAATGTTGCTATTCTAACAACAAGACCTGGTCTACAATTCTTTTCCCTTGACTTCTGACATCCACAAAGCATTTTCATCCACACATCTGCAATTTACTGCACGTTTTCTGCAAACTTGAAGGATGGTTGTGTGAAAATCAGCAGGGATGCTCACAGCGAACTCCATACATCAAAATGAGCCTGGCACCACCCACAAGGGCGCATTAAGGGACATTACAGTTTCAAATTAATTATTTCTGAAGGAATTAAAAGAATGTTAACAGTTTTTTGGTTTAGGAAATATTCACTTAGCATTTCTTATAAATGTTGTATGTGAATATTTCAAATAAATACAATATAAAATTAGAATATCCTTTTTCAGTTTCAATGGTTTAAAGATTGATGCACTTTTCCTGCTTGGGTTCATCCCTTGTATAAATGAGAGGAAATTCACAGCTTCAAGTACAGATGAAGTTAGTAAACCTACAGGGAGGACAAGTTTGTGCTTTTGTTTTTGCCTGAATCAACGATTCTGATTCAGTAATTCTAAGCTCACACTGCAATAAAAAAAAAGTACATTTTAAAATAACTGAACATTTTTGATAGATGTTCTCTTTCACACTTTTGTACACATTTCTTTGTGTTGTGGTGAAAGATTTATGTGGAACATCTACTTCAATTGTTTTTGCTTTTTATATCTGGCACATCTGTGGTTTTATGGTTGAGTGTGAAGGGGATAAGTATTACAAATTGAAATTGACCCATTAAGATGTGATAATCTCAACAAGTGTCTGCCCTCTTCTATCTCTGAAGATAAAAATCATATTAAGTTACCATTGTTGCTTCCAGTCTGGATAGTTGCTTTATCTCTACCATCTTGCAAAGGCCTCTCTTTTTCCCTTTAAGGCTTTATCGCCGTGTGTTATCTCTCCTGAAATGCTGTAATGCAATGAGGCTATCCAGTTTCAATCGCCAGACCTCAGCCTTCCTCTGTGACTCAGGTGTCTGAGTGGCTGTTAGCCAATGAGAGTCGCTGAAAAATTTAGTCCTCAAGGGGAGGGAGGCTCAAGATGGACAATTTTATTGCAGCCTTAACGACAATATATTTGGAAACTGTAAAAGATATTAGTGACATTACTAAGCCAATAAATCTTACACGGTCAGTTTCATGTGCTTTCATTTTTCATTCTTTATAAAATACATTGCTTTCCTTGAGCCCCTGTTTTAGTACCCTGTCAACAATCTGCAGCCAGAGAAAAAGACTTGCTAACCCCAGGATTTTAACTGGGGACTCAAATAAAGCAAATGCTATCAGCACTTCCTTTGCAGTATCCCTTTTCTCCACAGAGGTGGAAATAGGTCCATTTGTATTGATTAGTGGAGTAAAGTTTGCACAATTTTCAATTATTCCGTAAAGATTTTGATTCATATTCATATTAGTCTGCAGAATTCTGTGATCTTTTGTTTAAAATTCCTAAAATCTGGATTCTTCTTGTATTTACTTATCTGAGAAAATATTTTTGTTTAAATATGTCACACAGTTGGGGAGCCTTTCGAATTCAGTTTAAATTGTAGTGCTGTGCTCACCAAAAATATGTATTTGCTTTTAGCTAGTAGGACAGATGCACACAGATTCTCTGCTGGTTTGAGAGACAGAGTCGTCTAAAACTGTCCAGATACACCTTCAAGCCTTTTAAGTTCTCTTCTCTTTGAGGCAGTGAGGTCCTCAGATGTTTTGAGGCTTGAAATGATGCTGACAGACACACAAGATTTGCAGGACTTCTTCAGAGGCCAGGGAGCAAATTCTTTGCAAACCTGAATGCGCCTATCGTCTTTTTCTTTTTCCAAATGCAATATAAGTGAGATTTGCAGAAGCTGGTTCCGAACTCATCTCCATCCTTGCTCACAGCTTTAGCATTTAGCGTATCTTTATACATCTATCCCTCAGAATTGCGTTCCAAAGTTCAGGACAAGAAACAAGAGAGCAAAACAAATATACTCCTGATCCTTCCCCGCAGGCTGCTGCTCTGGCAACAATCTCGCACAATTCCAAAAAACAAAAAACATGGTCACAAAAACATAGCTGTAAAAATACTGGAAATTTCCACAGTTGCAGCTGAAAAAAAAAACACTAAAGGAAAACTGGTTGTATTTCTATTTCCTTCTCTATTTTCTTGAAACATTATCCCTTTTTTGATAGTGATCAGACTGTATGTGAGACACCAAAGTCTGTCCAGGCAGCAAAAGCATTTAAACCGCTGAAAATAAGGGAATACTGAGGATAAATTAGATTTTGACTGTGAAAATGACACCTACTGAACTAAAAATGGAAAACTGGCTACTGCAGCATCTTTTGTTTGTTTGTTGTATTGTTTTTATTTAATTGACAAAATAAATTTTATTGTGATGTGCAGACCACAATAAAAATAGAGGCAGCATTGTTAGTAAATAAACAAGACCAACATTTACTAAGCACTGCAAACTTTTGAGACATGTCAATAATATTATATGAATGAATTTACAGTGTTTTCAGACAATTTTGAAAGCACCTCATATTTTGTTGCGTTACAGCTCCGATGTTAAATGGTACCTTTGGATATTATATATGATTTAATCCAAAAGAATTGCATAATTTTGTCAATAAAAAAGTGTGTTTTGAACAGCTTTCAAACATGGAAAGTGCATCTGTCTTCAGCCTTGACATTTCAAATGAAGTCAAATTTAAAGCCAAGTTAGGTTATAAAACAACATTAGAATTTGGTGAAATTCTCTGAGAACTATTCAATGCATCATCTGAAAACTGTAAGTGTGATCTATCTGAAATATTACCATCCCTTGGCCATTCACCTAAAGCGACAGACTGAGCAAGGTGGGCAGAGAAACAGCCAAGTTGTCCCTTGTCACTACAGATGAGCTGCAGAGACCCATAGCTTTTAGTAATGCACACCACAAGTCCAGCCTTAATGAATGAGTGGCGACAAGGGATCCATTGTTGTGAAAAAATTTTTTAGAAGTAACATTTGCAGTTTGCCTCAAAGCCCTGGAGGGAATCAGCAAACACATGGACGAAAGGGCTCTGGTCAAGTCAGACCAAAATGTGACTTTGAGGCAACATGCAAAACTTAACACTGCATTTCACAAAGGGACATCCCAGTGGAACCAAAATGTTTAGGTAATGCTGCATATTAAAGTCCATGTATCATTTTGATTTTGTTGACCAATTATGAACTATATCATTTGTCACAGAACATACAAGCAAAATACACTGAAGGTTGTGGTTCCAGCATGACATAATTTGACTAATTCCTGGAAGATGAGTACTGTAGTTCACATGTTCAGTTATAGTGATGGAAGGATGGACAGACACACAAACATCTGTAGCATTTTGCATCTATAATAGTATCAGCTTGTCTCTGCGGTATCAGCATCAATTTTTTTTAAAATTCAAACAGTTTTGTTTCAGAAAAAAGTAAACTGTTCATTCTGCCTAATG